ATCTTGACTGCTTTATGAGTAACTTGAGACAACAATTAATAACTCGTATTAATCGCCTTCTAAGAATACCACAAAGTAATAAATGATATCACAATAAAAGAAGTTATCTTACTACCTTGAACTATGAACTAGTAAAGGTTGAAAGATAAATCACAAAGCATAAGTAACAAAGGTTCAAAAGAACTCTCAAAGTATAATATTCTTAATCAATAATGAAGTCCCTAAATGAATAAGAAGAGCTCCTTATTTATAGGAGTAAAAGTTCTTAAAATTAGGTATGGTGGCTGCTGAGGCATAAAAAGGCATTAAAACTAGCTAGGGTGGTTGCTAAGGAATAAAACAGTCAGTAAAATTAGGTAGGGTGGGCGGCCAAATCCCTTTGGGGCAGATTTAGACCTTAAAACTACTAGTTTGGGCCATTGGTTTGGACTCCAATTGGGATCCTTTTCAAACACCCCTTTTTGGACCTCTTTTAAGCTCATTATGAGCTCTTCTGGGTGCCCTTTTGCTAGATTTCAACAGCCGAGTTCGGGACCTAATCTTCCTCCTCTTGGACTTCAATTTGGGCCACCAAATAATTGTAAAACTTGACCAATTCACCTCCTTTGGGCTTGAGCTCGTCCTCTACAATTCAAAGCTTCTTTAATTGCCATTGAAGTCCATCAACCTTAGTCTGCAACTCTTTAACTTGAGATCTTGCAAAAGGCCTTCTTGGAGCTTCCAAAACTCTATCCTTATCCTTGATGCTATCAGTTAAAAGGGTCGGTGCGCTCACCTCATACATCTTCACCTGGTCCTCCTCGGTCACCAAGCAGTGAAGATAATTGGTCATGCCAACCGGTCCGGACAACACCCGGGTATCTACCAAGATCGTAAACATGATCGTTCTTTTGCGATCGGGGTCCAGGATCAGAGCATGGAAGTGGTTCACCAGCTTCCGGATCGAGCTAGGACCGCCTGCTTCCGACGATATATCTTTTTTTGGGATCTCCAGGTGATCAAACTCGTAGTAACCCTCCAATGCGCCGATGTGCATGCCCTCAAAGAACATGTTGAAGGCCTCGTCTGTAGCCCGCAAAGTCTCATTTGGTTTCTATTTGATGGATTGAGCCTCATCAAATAGAGACTTTGTGTGAGACGGCAACTCTGTGATGTCAATGACACCGACGGCTTCTCTCAGAGCAGGAGAAGTCTCTTGGGAGACCGGGGCCACTGGCCTTCTTTCGGGCTTCCGAGCCAGAGAGTGTTCAACCTCCTTGTCACTTCCCCCCGATGCTACCCGCTCTTCATCAATGGCCGGCCCATGGGTGACGAACTCCAAGTCGTCATCCTCAGGGTAGTCCCTAAACCGGTAAAGGGAGTCGGGATCCGGTACCCTGGCCCAGGTGATCTTCTTGTTACACTTACAGACCCAGACCACTACCCATTTCTTTTTGGCCTAGGAGTCCGCGTTCGAGAAACTCGAACTCTTCCTCTTTCTCCTCTTTTTCTCCTCCTTCTTATCGGGTGAGAATGAAGCCTCGTCCTCGTCCACTGCTAGGAGCTCAGTGGTCTTGGGCGAACCTATGGATGGAAAAGAAGGACTTAATAAAAGTGGAAGTTGAATATGAAGGGAAATTTGATAGAGGAGAGGGCACTCATCATGGGAACGAGCCTCTCACTTGCCCTTCGAGAGTTTGCGCTATTCGCACTCAAAGTACGATAGCTGTTTGCAGATCCCCTCGCCCACTCGCTGAAGCGGGGGACTCCATTGGGGACTTTGACAACCGCTGCACAATGGTAGTATCGGGCAATAAGGAAGAAAAACTAAAGTCCAAAAGAAATTCTAAATACTCAAAAAGGAGAGAAACTTACGGGCTAAGTTCCACTTTTCAGGGGACGACCGAATTTCTTCACCCAAACAAATCTCCCCTCCCAGCATAGATCCCTATCTTCGTCAATGCTCGAGAAGGGAGCTTTCTTTTCCCGTCGAGCGAGCTTGATTAATCCCCCTCGGAAGATTCGGAGACTATAGTGACGAAGCAGATGGTCGATGGTAAATCGGGTTGTCTTAGTTTTATTGACAAAATGGTGAAGGAGGATCACGATCCTCCCAAAGGACGGATGGATATGCCCGAGGCAGACCTCGTACCTTTTGCAAAAGACGAGGATTATGATATCCACTAGGCCAAGTGTGAAGGGAGTATGTGTAAACACTTAGATACTCCGCCATATGTGCTGTGATGCCCTCATCAGGACCAGGGATGACCACATCTTTGCCCTTCCACTTGTAGTCCTCCAAATCATAGGGAGCGTGTCCTCGGTAGTGGAGCATATGTACCTCCACACCTCCTTTCCTGGAAGCCTTTTCGACCTTAAAGTCATTTTCTATGGAGCAGCCTCCAGGGATGAGATTTTTTAGAGGAGGCTCCGGGGCCACCTCCAGTACGGCCACCTCAACATCTGTGGCCGGGTTGGAAGTTGAAGGGACGGTCTGCTGGGGCACCGATTTCGAAGTTTTCGCCATCAAGTTCTAGGAAATATGAATACATGAAGGCAGGTATGAAGATTTGAAGATGAGGATAAAGATTTGAAGGACAAACTTGAAGGTTAAAGGATTTAAGTATGAAGATTTGAAGATGGGAGGATTAAGATATGAAGATATGAAGAACAATGTATGGAGATTTGAAGGGGTTAAAAGCAAGTAAAAAGTTCGGGGGTAAATCAAGAAGTTCTGAAATCGAAAAGTAAAAAAGTGAAAAAAGGATCGAAGCTTTATAGAGAAGAAGTAATTATTATGTGACGTTTCACATTCAAGGGCGGTCAACCGGCGGCTGACACGTGTCCGAAGTCAGAACGTCGTGACTAATGGGGCGTTTCACTAACTCGTCGACCAGATTGTAGTGTACGGGAGAAGGAATCGGGGTCAATTAATATTTTTTCGTCGTTTCGATAAATCTTCTCTCCGAAAAGTGAGGGAAATATCTATGTGCGGGTAAAATTGGGGATCATGTTACCCCTGATTCCCCAATAGGGGAACAGGAGGGAAGCATAATCTGAAGCAACCTTGAGCGAAGCCGAAGAGTCCCTCATTCTGGAGCTCGGGGGATGAACGGTGTATCTGGGATCGGGCATGCCTAAACAACGGATCTAGATCAACTGAAGTTTCGAGACCGAGGAAAAAGAGAAACGGCTGAGCACGACGAGCGGGGAGCCGTAATATCCGCCCTCAACCGGATATAATGGCATAAATTTTGTCTTATATCAATTGCGGATCGGTATTTACCGAAAAAGAAAACTTTTACCTTATTTAGACTTGTACTAGGATTGAAATTCCTCTACTATATAAAGGGGAGAATTTATTCATTAGAACACACTGTTGACACACATATCAAAATAATAAAAGTTCATTTCTATCTTCTAGGTATTATTCAAAGTGTTCTTTAGTTACTCTCTTCTTATAATGCAACCAAGCCCATATCTCAGGTTCGATCGGGGCCGGATTTCAGTGTTCAACTTAAGACCATGCTTGATTGTTCCATTACGATTGGTTTGACCGTTCATTCTCTCTTTTGTTTAATTATTTGATGTTCTCAGATCATTCGTATTGAATTAAATCGCGTATCTTTTAAACTTTGTACAAATTTAAGTGTTGCTCATTTTTAAGGGCAAACAACTATATCGGGCAAAAACATTAAAAAAATATTCCTAATTTGTGTAGAAGAATAAAGGTAAACACTAATATGATATCACGTAACTAATTTAGCTCCTAAAACATTCTCAATTTATTTATGCAGAAAACCTCTTTTCTACAACGTCCAACAAATAAAATCTTTTCCGCACCGCATATTTAACCAAACAAATATATGCATAACATATGTTAGCATATAAACAATTTTTTACCCTTAGCCATGATTAGTTAATATATATATTTACTTCATTAATCACTTAACAGAAGTCATGTCCAGTCAAATGGTCAACGATCAATGTAAAGGTATTGGACTTGATAGGTTTTAGATTTGAATCTCATCAACAGTGACGGATCCACATTGACACTCCTTTGTAAAAAACTACAATGTTTAGTTAGCAAAATTTCTTTTATATATATATATATATATATANCATTTATTTTGATGTTTTTCTATAATTATTTTCGTTGTTTATTTTTTTTATTCGTATTTAAATTGTAGAAATTGGGAGTTTTGAGCCCCAAAGTTGAGAAATAGTAAATCCTTGATTTGAGGGTCAATTTATGAATGAAATTGGATGATTTTCTGGATATATATATATATATATATATATACTACATAATTGACACACCTTAACCTTAACTCATTTTAATAAAAATCTTGGCTCCGCCACTGCTCGTCAAAGTACATATCTAACGTATGTGTTAATGTAATGTAAAATAGTGTCAATGTACATTGATTGGTGGTGTGAACATATTACTCCCTCTGTTTTAATTTAGATGACACATTTTCCTTATTAGTTCGTTCAAAAAAGAATGACATATTTCTATAATTGGAAATAATTCAATTTTAAACTCTTCATTTTACACATTTTACCCTTAATTAAAATTTTTTATAACCACACAAATGTCATGGCCCTACAAAGCTTTTACCCCTTAAACTTTTAAGGCCACAAGTTTCAAAAATTTTCTTTTTTTCCCCTTAAATTCCATACCGAGTCAAACTATCTCGTCTAAAACGGATGAAATATAACATATACGCTCTTATACAACCTAAAATTGAAAAAAAAAAAACCCAACTTTTACACACATGATGTCGATTTTCCACTTGACCGGCATGCAACAGATTCAGCTCACTCCCAATCTGTAAAACACTAAAATCAGACGCAACAAATTGCAACATAAAAAATAAAAATTTATAGCGTAACTCACAAATAAAGCCGCCTTTTGTAGACCATTTCCCTTTTCCACTGTGTGAATAAGCATTCTATTCTACCAATAAATGCATTATTATACCAACTTGATTTATAAACTGTCCAGACGCGTTGAACTTATACCAAAAAAACAAGAACCTTGCCTTTTTCTTTCTCTTTTTCCTTGTCTGAACCGCAGTTTTTTGGAAACAATGAACTAATCCCTCCCTTGTCCCACTTGGTAATCTTTTTCTCCTTTTTTAATTCCAACATTCTTTATTTATTTAAATCCCCTTATCGCTCTCTTTCGAAGCAACACTCGTAGATTCTTTTTTCTGTTCTCCTCAAAAACCTTTTTCTTTGTATAAAAATCAGTTCTTTCGCCACCCCCTCATCACCAAATCAAAGCTTTTTGCTTTCAGATTTCAATTTCACGGCAAACCCATTATTTATTTTCGATTTTACGACGACCCATCTAAGAATCTTGGAAAATTGTGACTCATGGCTGTTGAAAAAGCTGCTTCGGATCCGAACTCGATTAAGATCCGAGAAGTTTGGTCCGATAATTTGGATTCTGAATTTGAACTTATACGAAAAGCTATTGATCAGTACCCTTTCATCTCAATGGATACTGAATTCCCGGGCGTTATTTTCAAGCCGGAGGTTGGTTCTTTCCAGCAAAATCGCCGGCGACACGGGCAACATTATAAGTTGTTGAAGTCAAACGTAGACGCTTTGAACCTTATTCAGCTAGGACTCACGTTGTCGGACGCCGACGGGAATTTGCCGGATTTGGGTTCTGGCGGGGTGCACCGGTACATATGGCAGTTCAATTTTTCCGACTTCGACGTGGCGCGTGATCGTCACGCGCCGGACTCCATCGAGCTTTTGCGTCGCTACGGGATTGACTTCGAGAAGAACAAGGAATTCGGTGTTGACTCGGCTCGTTTTGCTGAGTTAATGATGTCTTCTGGGTTGGTTTGTAATGACTCAGTGAATTGGGTCACGTTTCACAGCGCGTACGATTTCGCTTACCTGGTGAAAGTCCTCACGCGCCGGGAACTTCCTGGGGAGTTACAGGACTTTTTGGGAATTCTCAGGGTGTTTTTTGGAAATAATGTTTATGATGTAAAGTACTTGATGAGGTTTTGCGAACTTTATGGTGGGTTGGACCGGGTTGCGAAGGCTCTAGAGGTGAACCGGGCGGTTGGGAAGTGCCACCAAGCCGGTTCAGATAGCCTGCTGACGTGGCATGCATTCCAAAAAATTAGGGACGTGTACTTTGTAAAAGACGGACCGGGAAAATATGCCGGCGTTTTGTATGGATTAGAAGTGTATTAGGAATTAGTACTAATTTTTTAATTTGTTAGTAGTAAATAATATCTTTATTAAATAAATATTTTTTGTGGTAAATTGTGGTCTCTAATTTCGCTAATTTTAAAGTTTAACAAGGCATACATATTTGGCTTTTGAGTTGTATTTTGAATAATTTTATTTGTCTAATTGGAGAGTCTACAACGACTATATGAAGAAGGTAAGAGCATACAAAGTCAAATAATATCAAGAAGATAAAAACCAAAGTTCAGCATCTAATATGTTAAATCGTATTTGACACATGATTGCATATCAAAAAGTTTTGTACTTTTAAAGTTTGCGAATTTTAAACATTGTATGACGTTTATGGTGGTATAAGATTATGCTATTATAGATTAAAATGAGTAGTTTAAAATTAAAAACTTTTAAATATAAATAGTTCTGTTTATGAAATTGAACAGAGAGAATCACAAGTTTTAATTTACACTGTAATTATTTAGTTGACAAATTGTGTTGGAGGTCGAAGGTTGGAAGAGTCGCATACATGTTAAATGTGACTCTTTTAATTGTCTACTCTTTCATGTGGTTTGATGTATTTTATGTGAAGAAGGGCACCGCCACGGGCATATTCAGTGTAGATTCAGATTCATCCGAATACATAGCTTTCGCTCTATTCTATATTCTTGTCCAATAAAAATCATTAAATATTTATAAATCATAAACTTTAAACACATTATATTAGATAGGATGTGGTAGAATTGTGAATCTGAACTCATAAAGTTCAAATTCTGGATCCGCCTATATGTATTGTTGTTTCATTAGCAAGGAGAAAGAAAGAAAAACTCCCTGGTAGTAGCTAATTTTTGGAGTGCACATTGATGGATAGACACATTGTTTTCTTGAAACTTAAGGTCGTCTTTGAGGTGAAGTTGAAATTTATAGGAGGTTGGACAAAATTTAAGTTGAGATTGAAAATAAGTACTTAAAAACTAAAGTTAATAATGTTTATTAAAGTTCAAGTTGTGCTTGACTATTAGTACCAGTTGAGAAATAAGTCCGTTAAAGTAGAAATATTTACGAATATATATATATATATATATATATATATTAATTTTCGAACATGTGCGTTGCACGTGTATTCCTATGGTGATTTTCTGTGTTATTAACGTATAAATGAAAGAAATAATTTAAAAAAGAGTTTTTTACACCGATGGTCTCTTTAAAAAATTATTTTCATAACTAATAGTACTTTTCGTTTATTCCAGATATAGCATATTTTATTATAGATATAGCATTTATAATAAAACTCATTAATTATAATCCCTTAAATACCGCTATAAGGGGCACCCTATTTAATAGCCAAAATGCAAGCACCCAATGTTTAATGAAAAAGTTGCAATCTTCACTAATATCACGTGTAGACACTAAAATTTTAGCAGATCAAGATAAATCCTAAATTCAAGACGACTCTTGAAATATTAGGACTCTATTAGAGTTACTTGGTGGCTACTCCACACAAACTCCAATTCATGCCTATAAATAAAGCTACATATGTCCTTCAAAGAGGATCTCAACAATCCCATAGCGCACAAAGAGATCACATATACGATCTCAAAATTTCACTAAAATTCATGAAATATTCATTAGAGATCAAAGACATGTCAAATATGTCTTGCTCAAAGTTCTA